CTTGTTGTTCGTGTGTTCAACTAAGATGAACTTCAATAGAAATTTAATTAACATCAATAGAAGGAAAATCATAGGAAAGCGAATTACCATCTAAGTAAAACCAGCTCAAAATCAATTTGATGTCGTAATTAAATCAGCCAAAATCTAGTGAAAAAACATTACAAATTCAACAAATCTCCGATTCTGGAACTCTGGGAACCCGTATTTCGAAATTAGGGTGTGTTTAATATTAGCCGGAAGGGATTAGGCCGTTTGGCGGCTAGAGTGGCAGGAGGTGAAGGGGTCCCGAGTGGGGGCGCAATTATTCCCTAGTACGGCTGATATGGTACCACGGCCAAGCCGTGTTTTAGGAAAACTAAAATCCTGTTATCGCAACCAGGCATGCCCTCCGGAAACACGCTGGTTCTAGGGACCGTAATCATCTAGATGTGGTGGGCTCAGCGGTCAAAACAAAACTGCTAAAAACTCTTTGAAAGAATGGGGCCTTGGCAACTGTAGAACTGTAGAATACCCACGGCACTTGTGCAGATGCTCCAGCATGAAGTTGCGCATAATTCTATATGCAGACGTCATATTCACTCCGATGATTCCATTTAGATGAACCTTACAACTCCTTGTATTACAAGCTCATACTTGGAAATGGTTCGTAGGACCCAGTGGCTAATCTCACTTGGGTTCCAACCTTGCCTGAAATCTCCTTGAACGGCATTAAACTGGTTGCCCCAATCATCCAGTTGTCATGGTAGTTGTTATGTATACATCCCATGGACTTCCAAGCAACATTTGGGTATCGGGAACTGGGATCAAGATTCAGAGCTGGGGAATTAGCTACCGGCAAAAAGACATGGTCTGTTTGCTACAGCCACAAGAAGTTGCATGGTTTGTGTATGTGATCTGTTTGAAGCGTAAAGATCGTTCATTCGAAGGTGCGACTTTCATCCTTTCGAGAAAGGAGACAAGTTGGGAGAGGGGGAGGGAGAGGAAAGGTCTTGCATTGTCCTACATGTCATGCCGTGACATTGCAGCTTTTCAAGTCCACTTCCACTTCCACTGAGAAGATGGTTGGCTATGACTATGTTTGGCATCCTGTTGATGATTCTGAGTTGTTGGGTCTCCTTGGTAGCATGGTTCAAAAAGAGTAGTTGCTACTTCGTATATATGAGAACTAGAACTATCGCAAGACTTTGCTATCTCGCTTAGTGATAAAACTCCATCCAAAGCTTGGATAACATTCTTAAGATCCTCATGAACCTTCCCAAGGCTGTTGCAAGGCCTGGGGAGTGAGAACCGGACCCAATGCTTAGCGCAAAACTTGGTTGGTGAGAAACCAACCCCTAGGCATGCTGATGATGCCAGCCCAGTGACGCGTCATCGTCAGCATCATGCGGGGTCGGCTATTCTTTCTTTGACGGCTGTCTGCACACCTCACAAGGATCGGAGGTCCAACGCAGGCCGAAGTCACGAAGTCTGGGTAAAATCAAACTCCGTGGGAAACCTTCAAAGGGGGTGCCGGCTGCCAACGCACGTGCTCAAAGGTTTGGGTGCTGAAAGAGGGGGTTTGCAGACCGGCCTGCTCCAGAAGCTTGTCGGTGGCCAAAGCCAATCAACACCTGGCGTAAGTTGCTAGATGGTTGCATCTCATCAAATTCCCCCCACGTACATGTAGCACCATCGTCGTGCGCATCCTCATGGTCGTCATCATCATCAGCAGCAGTCCTGGTGATCAGACCGAAAATAACGAGGCCTAAGGATTGCGCCAGGGCCATGGTTGAGGCTCTCATGCTATGGTCGAGGATGCTTGGAGCCTCGACTGCTACCACGAGACCATGATGAAATGGAAGACCCAGTTCATCAGCTTGTATTATCATTTCACTGCTGGAGCATTTTCGTTTGGGGGGTGGGCTGGCTTGTGCCTGAGGCAGAATTTTGAATATTGCAGAGATGATGCAGAATTGCCATATGATAAGGCATGTCAAAGGCTTTGTACCAATCTGGGTACACATAGGGCTTACATGTGTATCTCCGTATGAAAGTTTCGCATTGCTGGGGAGCTTTGCCTACGATTTAGTCTGCTTTTCACGTCGTGGGTATTGCGGATGCGGGCATCCCTGAGGAATGCTAGGGGCTTATCATGTAAATCTAAGCTGAGAGGATTGATCAGAACATGGCATGTTAACGATAAGTTTTGTGAGGGGATCCACGGTCAGAATATATTTGGAAGGTTTTGGAGACTCCCCACTTAGAGACATAAGATTGCGCGAGATCTCCATGTGAAATTAAGGCATGTACGAATGGAAATCTCTCCATTTCGCAATCAAGTTTGAACACAGAACGAATGATTGTGATTTGCTGCGCAAGCAGGGCCACGGCTTCTTACCATTCCTTGCATTTCAGACAATACCAGCCCACAAAGACGTTTTGCCTTCCGCAGCCTGCTCTTGGGAATCCAGCCAGGTCTGTGCGTCCTTCTGTTGTAATGATTAGGCTCCTGTCTGATGCATGATTCTCTTGTAAGCAGCGCGCTTATCTCGTGCTCTCCAGTCTCACAATTTCGCATGTTGTAGGTGTTTTTTGGCTCGCATTGTAAGTATTTTTAATTTCTAGCGTGAGTGCTAGTCGGCAGAACCTTGTTCCATGTCTTCGAATTTCGGAGATTCGAGCCGCTGCGCAGCTCTCTATCTCCCTTGGCCCCACATCCTGCTTAATGTTTTTGAAGAGTGTGCTTGCGTGGACTACCTGGCCGACGTGGCCGATCGAACTGATGTGCGACGTTGTGCTGCATTCGTACATTTTTGAGATTGATGGTGTGCAATTGCTTGCCTAGCCTCACGAGAGATCAAAGCACTCGGGCCTGGAGTCCTTCATGATGCTACGTGAGCATTTGTTTTGCGAAAGGGTTGCTTGAGGCCTTGATGGAGCGACAAAGGAAGCGACGGTGGCGCGCAGACCTGGGCAGCAAGTCTGGGATGACACCGCCTTCTGCTTCAAGGGCATCTAGCCAACCTCCTTTGAGGCGCTGGTCAACTAGTCAAGCGTCCTGCGAAAATCTCCCGCTACAATCCGTTGCAATGACAGCTTCCGTTTGCAGGCCTCTCCATGGCGATTCACCTGCTCCTGCAGGCCCGGCCGCAGGCCTGAGTCAATTTCAAGTCGCGTGCCATGTGCCAGCTTACAGGTCGCAGCTCAGACAGCAGCCGTGCAAACACGCCCAACTGTCCAACATGGATAGTTGTGGACAGTGATGCGCCGCAAAGGGCAGCTCCCAGGTACGTGCCTTGAACCTTAGTTTGGTTGTCGTATGTTGTCGTGCCCTTTTTCTGCCGCATAGCCGTGCCTGTCGGAGGCAGCAAGTACGTTCGCATGTTGTGTGGCTGGCACGTCTTTTCAATAATGGTTCTTGACGGATCGTACCATGGTTTGATTGGCACGCCGCCAGGCATTGAAGAAGCTTCCTCGCGCAGCCAGCCAGCCTGTCAGGCTCTCACAGGGGCTCTGAGCGGAACTGCTCGTCAGTCACTGATTGATATAGCTGACAGTGTCTTGATGGGTCGGTATGCAGGTTGGCTGAGAACAGGTTTGCCTGCACAGTTCCTGTGGGTTCATGGCTTGTGTCAGGGATGTTTTGCCGACATAAAATGTGAATATCTGATATGTGAATTAGGCAGACAGTGCAGGCCCGTTTCTCAAGTTTGCGCACCCTAGCATGATGGCACTCGCGCGCGCGCGTGCATACTCTGTGGATTTTTTTGCCTGTCTGAATCAGCCCAGAGCCCTTCTTTGCGCTTGGGAACAGATGGACTCGGAGCCTGCCACAGGCAGAAGCCTGTAGCAGCGCTGCCCCGCCAAAGCCAAACTCCAGGCTGGATGCTGCACGCCTGCTGCACGCCTGCTACCCATGCACAATTTCGCCCAAAAAGGCAGCAGAGAAAGCAGCCGAGCGACAACTCCAAGATGTCCTGATGACCTGGTTGATGCTACGGACGATCATCCAGCTCCAGAGGAGTTTGCGGCCCCTTCGATGTCGCCCAGGAGCGAGGGCGAGAAATCCTGTTGGAGTTCTGTGCGCTCATTCATTGAACTGTGCCATGCTGTGAGGAGCAAGGCTGCTGCAGACGCTGATGTGCCCGCCCCTCCAGATGGCCATTCCACAGGCACGGAACGGAACTAGCCAGGGCCAAACCTCCTGTAATTCAGGTTTGGCCGCCAAGATTCAAGGGTTTGGGCTGGAGTTGTTATTCTGGTTCTTTGCCGCTATGAGCTCTTCCTCGCATTTTTGATCTTTTGACACACAATTCTACATGCGCCGTGGCTCTCGGGTGCCCAAGCCTCGCAGACTCTATCAGCCACGGCCACATCAAGTTGCAAGTTGAGTGGCGCATCCAAGAATCTACCAAGCAGTTTGAGGACATTGGCTTAAAATTCCTCGAAAGATGCATTCTCAGCGAGAACGGTTTTATCTTTCCTTAGGACATATGAAAACGTGACATCCTCTTGTGGTACCGATCTGTGTATACCAGTCAATGCTGCAGGGTAGAGGTACAGTTGAAAGGTGCCCGTACATTGTGCAATAGGCCGCTGAAAGATATCCGCCGTTTAAGAAACTTGGATAACTTGGCAATCTCCAGATGATAGGAAAACAAGTCAATCCCCAAATGGTGCATAGCAAGCTGAAGCGAGATGTGCCTTGGGTTGTCAGACATAGTATGCCCAAAAGCTACAGCCGAAGTCGCATGTTGATTCGAAAGCGAGTGCGTCTGCATGATCCAGGGTCACACATCATGAGCATTCAGTTTTCATCTCATGTTGTATCACCTGTATGCAAGATGCTTCAGCAGCACATTCAACCACCTTTTTGGCAGTGTGCCTCAAGCGCCACAGCCACTTCAATTCAAGGGCAGACAAACAGGCTATCACGAATTCTCGAGGGAAAAATGAGAGAATATAACGGCTGCTTTTGGCAACGTTCAAGGGTGATCCTAGGCGGGGAGGTGCGCAAGATTTTAACGACTCTCGGGCTCTAGGCTTCTCGGCCTAGGCAAGCTTTGCGGGTTTCATGGTGCCGCTTTGCAGCCGCACTCGTAGGTCTTGTGAGGGTTTCGATGTTAATGTAGGAGTTGCGGTGCTGGGGATTGGGGGTTCACGGCCTAGCGCTTCTGCCTCCACAGGGTTACAGGATGCACGGTTTCTGGGCTTACGGGTTTCAGGGTTTAAAAGTCTACAGCTTCAACTGTTGGGTTGTTGGTCTTCAGGAGCGGCTTTAAGGTTCTGAGGTATAAGGCGAAGCGCACCGAGGCAATTTGAGATTAAGCAGTTGTGAGGGCTTGGGAAGGGGGGTGTCAAGGGAGTTTTTGGGAGTTTTCAGGTCAGGTGCCATTTACCTTCGTGCTGAAGTGAAGACCTTCAACGTAGATAACGCAGGTTCTTCTCTTGGGAGTGTTCAAGGCTGATGGATGTGGGAGTGATTTTGGGGGTTCAGGCTTCATCGTGCTCAGTTCTTTCTAGCCGGGTAGCGCTCTGTGCAGCGTCCTGTTTTTCTCTCGCGAAGGTGTGCAGTCCCAGTTGGGATCTATGTTACTTGCGGAGCCCCAGATCTCGAAGCACGGCTCGGATCCTGTGGAGAAAATGAACGCAGGGGAAATTACCATAAACTTACAATGAAGGTCAGACTTTGGGCGAGCATGCGTTCACGGGGCTAATGCCGATCCACGAACTGGCAGGATCCGATCAAACTCTGTCATCTGTCGGATGTGTAGCATTCGTTGTTTTAACAGGAGTTTTTCGTGGCCCTAGCCTGCAACGATCGTTGCAATGCCTCGGGCGTGTTCGAGAGCTTAAGCGCAAAGCAACAAGGCGCAGATTCGGAATCCTGACTTCTCGCTGCTGTGCTTTCACCTGGTCCGGATTAGAATGGTGCATGGTCTTTGTTCGCTTAACCAGAATCAGATGTTCAATGCCCAGAGAACAGATGAAATCGCATGCACCGGGGGGCACTATCCCAACAGACAACACGCTTGGAGCATGCAAAACTGCAGAGCTCTGGAGTCAAGACATGCATTTGTGGGCCTGAGCTTTCAACGAAACTGGCACAGGTCCCAAGCCGTGGAAGCAAAGGGCAATCCAGGCCAGTGGCGTTGGTGTTACTCCTGAACGGTTTGAGCTAAGATCCTTCCCAGGTCAACTCAGCATCCTATTATCTGGAAGCGCTGAAAGCTGCACGCGGTCAGCCTAGCAGAGGTTGGCTTTGACGGTCTGTTGCTTTCACCCGTGGCATGAGATGGAGCAGTGGATGCACAGGAGCTGGGCGGCCAGCCCCAGGAAGCAGAGGCACGGCAGGTGTGAAGTGCTTTGAAGTGCTTGGAACCCTGTGACATGGAACGTGTGAAGGCTATGCTGAGCAGATGCGGCTTCGTGCCGAAGATGTCGAGGCAAATCAAGCGGCAGGGCCAGGAATGAGGACAGCGCTTGTGGCCCAGGCAAAGCAGCGGGAGGAGCAGGACACAAGGATGGAGCGAGGTTACGCTGCTTTGCAGAGAGTGCAGCAGCGTGGAATGCAGGACGGATAAATGCACTCGGTTTATGTTGCTATGAGCTGTGCATCCTGCCAGGCATCCCCAGTTCGCAGTTCCATGGGCTGACGAATTGGCATTGGCAAGTCACGAGAATTCACGCTCGCAAATGCACCGCTAGCCATTGATGTGTAGATACTCTTAGTGCAGAAACACGGATTCAGCATGTAGTTTTGAGAACAACTTTATTGTAAGCATTTGTAAGCGCTGTCATGACAAGCAAGCATGTTCGACGCGATCCGTGGTGGCTGGTGTTCGACGTGTCAAGCTTCAGCTTGTTGCAGAGTCCGTGGCAGATATGCGGGAGAGCTCGCTTTAATCTACTAGGACGGCCGCTGTTCATACCACTGCTTTTGCACAGATAACGTACGGCCTACGTGGCCCCCACCCTTTGCCGTGAATGGTGAATCTCACCCCACAGTGGGTGACGAATGTCACCGTCGTCGTGCTACCAGAGCAGCACCAAAGACAGTGCAAAATCCGTGCCATTGCTGGAATACCCGAGGCATGTGAGAAGCCAGCTTGCAAGACCTCGGCATGCTTGAATACTGTTTCTGCAAAGTGTTTACTCGAATATAGTCGGGTATTTGAAAATTTGGGCCGTTCCGGCCCGGAGAGGCGGGACGCGAAAGCTTGATTTTCTAATAAGCTGTCCCCACACCTCAACCTGACATTTGAGAACAGAGGAGACATGGCAGATTCGCAAGCAGCTGCAACCTACCCGAGCTTGCGACACAAGCTGGGCCTTAGCTGTGCAATTATCAGCTGTGCCAAGTGGAGTCCCAGCCTTGTGACCTTGCCAGGCAAGTTCGTCAGCTGCAGAAGACTGAGATGTGCAAGTTTCATTTACTCAACAGGCGTGCTGACTGAAAACTCCCAGGATGCATGTTGCCTTAAAACAGCGCAACCTGCAAATGATGACTTCATTCATGGCAGATCCAGCACAAACACATCATGGCCAGGTGTGGAAAAGGAGCAAACTGCAGCTTTGCCCATGATGCTTCAGAAATTCGGGACAAGCCTGGACCTTAAGGCAAAGCAGCGGAAAAAAAAAAAGTTTGAGTAAGTGTATTGTGCTTGTACTATGGCTGCTACGGTAGATAGGGTTATATAAGTGTTATGTAGATACTACATAGGTATTCTGTAGTTACTATGTAGGCATTAGTGCTAGATGGGTGCTATGTAGGTATTGTGCTGGTACACTTTCCGGAGTGACAGCTTCTTTAGCTGCAGCCCAGGGGTTTGCATGACAGGCCGAACCTCAACCGGACCAGTATGTGCAAAACTTTCCTGCTGTCCGGGACTCTGAAGAGTGTGCCGCTTCGCTTCTGTGCAATCTCGTGGATTGCTAGGACTGGCAACTGTGATAAGCCAAATTGTGCGTTCGCACATGATGAGCGGTGGCCAGCTCAGAGAGAAGCACTGGCTCTGATTCTTATTACGCATGGCTGTCACCAAAAACGATCCCTCAGACATATTCGGAGGCATGGCAAGGTGATTCATGAGGGCTTGCCACTCCTGTGCAATGCAGGGAACTTCGAACGACGGAGGGCTTCTTCAAGACCAAGCTCTGTCGCTTTGCAAACCGCGGTCGTTGCAAGCCGGGGTCTTGAGACAGCTGGGTACGTAGCACCAATCATCGGATTCATGTCAATGGGCGGGGTGCCGTATTCGGGGGTGGAGACAGTTATGCCTTGCAGGACGGTTGAGATTTCAGACCGTTGTCATTTTTGGTTGTCATTTTGATGCAAGAGCGAAGCGAAAGGCTGAAAGAGGGAAAGAGGTCCTGTGCCGCGATTTCCAGCACTGCATTTGCACAATGCATTGATGTTGCTCGGACCGTCAAGGCACGGAGGTGCTTGCCGCTTTGCTCACAGCCCGCAGGCCTTGCAGTCGCAAGCGCTTGTGCCATGTTTGCTGGACTTGGTTTGGCAGGAACTTCTGCCTGAGGAGAAGCCTTCCACAGTCGCGGGTTCACAGGCCGAGGGAAGCAAAAGCTGCGGCTGAAAGCATGCAACAATCCCACTCCAGTGCCAAGGTCGACATGCCTCCAGCGCCTTTCCAATTGCCCAACCAGAGACAGGCAAGGCAATGTCTGCTGTACATGCTAGTGAGTACGAAGGATCGGTCTGAGCGGATGCACGGTGCAAGGTCCCAAGCGGGCCTGAGAGAGGACTGCAGCTTCTCTGCTTTTGCCGGGCTATATTTCCCAGCTTATGCCTGCAGGTTGTTCCAAAGGGTCTTGCCTTTGGATTCCTTTGCAAGGGGCTTGCATACAGTGTCCAGCTGTCGCTTGCAATTTAGACCTTTTAACTCTGATAGATATGTCATGAGCAACTCCGATTCCGCTTGGAAACCTGCCCATGAAAGGAATGTGCCTAACTCTGCAATCCAAGGCTCTTGGCCCTAAAGCAACGTATATGGTTTAGGGATTAGGGATAGGCTTTAGGGTTTAGGGTGTAGGGTTTAGCAGATGTACACAGTTGGCGGCTTCCAAAGAACTTGGGTCTTTTCCTGTGGTTCTAGACCCCCAAATACCGAGATCCGCATTGCAGGGAACGACCACCAGGGTCCGAACCCCTGAACACTGCATCTCCCTGATATAACCCCGTTATCCCTGTTAACTGTTCCCTAGAAAGCGCGTACGCATACTCATTGAAGAGTCCCATATGATTCCATGTTGCCTTAAGATGGACCCTATAAAGCCTTTACATCCCCTCTAGAGAGCTCTACAGACAAGCCCCAGATCTTCAAAGGGATGTTAACTCCATGACTTTAAAACCCTTCAATCTTATGTCTTTGCACTGTATTTGCTGGTGCGTTCGTTTGAGCAGGAGCCCGTTCGCCGATGAGAGCACAGATTGTGCCAGTCTCGGATCTGTGCGCTGGCATGTGGCCACAAAGTGAACTACCAGATGGATTGTCGCAGGGTTCATAGTGGCAACACTGTAATCTCTGTGCAGGTCGACGACGGCAGGCAAGTGATTTTGAAAGATGGAGCTGGTGCAACGTTGGTCTGGCTCCACGCGCACGGACAGGCCACAAGCTCCAAGTGAAACCAACACGTCAAGCAGTGACAGCATGCCTGCGGCCCCAGCTCCGCTATGCTCCGCTGGCTCTTGCGGCTATTGAATTTGTATGGTCAGGTCGGAGCAGCGTACCACTCGTGATGAAGCGTCCGATCAGAGCACCCGAGCTGACACATCCGCCTCGGCAGAGCACCCAGCTGTTGGCCCAACAGATGCATTTGACATCCTCTTCGCCGCATTCGCTGCTCCACATCTTCTTTGAGCACCATCAGGTACCAACCCCTGAAGGCAGTGGTGACTCTGGCCCAGAGGTCATTCTTGCCACAGCTGCCAAATACAGCCAGCATGCTAAACATGCCCTTGCAGGAGATGGCAAATGCCTCGTCCCATCCGCCCGACAGCAGCCCTCAGGCAAGTGCTGTGTCCTTATACCTTTCCTTCCACCATCTTCCGCCTTTGCATGCAAACTTTGTCATCGTCAGAAGAGACATCGGCCACGGCGTGGGAGTGAAAGGACGCAATCAAGGTCTGAGCAGACGACAGCTGATGCAATGAAACTGCTGAGCTTGTCAGGCATTGCACCACCATGATGATGACCAACGTCCCTCCATTTCTGACACAGGCAGAGAGCAAAGAACAACCTGCAGTAGAGACACACACTTCTAGGCATCATGGGGCAGCATGAAGACTTCACATGAGCGCTAAGCACTAACCTTGGTCGCTTGCTGTCAGGGCGCTTTGATCTCCTTATTGGAGGATCTAAGCACCTATATGCGCTCAGCCAAGCAGTGCCCATCTAGAACTGCCATAGGGTTATATAGGGGTTATGTAGGGGTTATATAGAGGATTATATAGGGATTATATAGGGAGTATATAGTTGGTCTACTTCCTGCTTCCAAGGCGTGGCGCCTTTGATTTTTTCTATTGTCCGTGGGACCCCTACCAGGCGCAGAAGTGTGAGCAAGCACTGCAGCCTCAGACTGCACATTGTTGTAATGAGAAGGACCGCAATCTTGGCTACGCCATCGTCAACTTTTTTATGAGGCTGCGCCAGCTGCATTGGCAGTAATTATTGACCTCACACCTGAATGGACTCCGTCCAACGCTTCACCAACAGCTAGTTACTCAAACTGCCTCAACCAGATCTCGTACACCGTGGTGCTGTACACGTGCCAGCCCATGCCAGCTGTCAAAATTCCGGGCAAGGTCTGTGGCAGCCGAGTTCGAGAAACAATGGGCAAATCAACCGCTTCTGCCAAGGAGCAGGGCAGGGCAAGAGTGCTTGAGCCTTGCTAGAGTCCCTCCACGCTTGCTGGCAGGACACATGGTTCGAAAAGACTGCGCATCATGCCAGCTGCCCTGCAGGCGGTGTCTGGAATGCACCTGCATTTTCATATTCATTTAATCACTAGCATCTCGAGTGTGTGCAAGCACCGGCCTCCTTTCAGAGAAAGCCTTGTAGTGCTCTGCCGCCACAGAACCAATGAATTGCGATCTTGTGTGCGACACCTAGTCTCTCGAGGGAGACTGTGAGCCTGAAATCTAACGAGAGTATTCCTGTGGAGTGCTTTATGAGGGGTCTACTGTGTTGTCAGACGTTCCCATTTGCTAGTCATACGAAGTTAGCTTACGCATGCCTGGCTAAGGAGATACATGTAGAATGTGGGACGCGTTTGAAGATCATCCGACGTGATCCAGCAGCAAAACAACATGAAGCAAGGGGAAACAAGGCAACCTTTGCAGTATTGAACTGCTGGGCCAGGGCCGTGCGGCCAACTTGCGGCATTTCTCTGGCTTCAGTGGCTCCCCGAGTCCATGCATGCTAAGCTGATGGATGCAATTCGTACATCAAAGCTTGGTGTCGTGTGAGATTAGAGTGTTCGAAGACGTGTGAACGCATGACTGGCTGCAAGAGGTTCCATGCACATCACATATGAGTACAGCTTCTGCCGGAGTGTATGCAACCTGCAAGCCATGCCTTTGTATGCTTTTGCAGCAGAGAAGACCTCTCGCAAAGGTCTCGCGCATCACGTGGACCCCCGTTTTCGACCATTGGCTGGAAGCCCTGTACTACTCCGCAGCATCGGAAAGTTGGCATCGCAAGCATACGCTGGTGCTGCTGAAGCACTGCTACAGGTCCGGGCCGGGCCCAAGGAAAACCTGCAGCCAATGGCGCTCTCCGAGGCGAGCATTGCAGCAAAAAGCACTTCAATGCAGCGTTCACAGTGCATCATGCTTTGGAGGAGATTGGGGATGTGGACAACCGGAACAAGGAGCAAGGCAAAAGCCACAGCCTTATTCAAGTGCCCTGCGCATGATCTTAGACCTTGGGAACTTCAGCTTCATCTCAGGCGCCCTAGCCTTTGAATGTGATGTTCAACCTGGCCAATCACAGCAATCACAGCGGCTGCCTGAGAGTCTCAACTGCCAGCAACAACGAACCTGCCTGGCCTTTGTGGGCATTTGACATCGCACGGAGGGTTGAACTTGTGAACTGGTAGCCGCCAGCGTGCTGACTTGCATTTTTGAATGCAAGATGTTCCGTGAGGCCCGCGGTAGCAGCGAGCAACGCAACAGGCAGTCTTGCTAAAGACTTCCAAGAACCTGATGCCTTCGGCATGCCTCAGGGATGGAAAGACCTGACAGGAAGCATGGCCCAGCCCTGGTCTCCGGAAGTGCTTGCTGCAGCGCTAGCCGCTTCCGGCAACAGGCCTACATGCCCCCAGATGCAAAGCTGCAGTTTCTTCAGACCTGTACGATATCTTGGATCCTCAGCGTCTGCAGGGCAACCATGCCACAGCTACCTTCGCAACAGCTGGCCTCGCCACAGCTGGCCTCGCCACCGCTGGCCTCGCCACCGCTGGCCTCGCCACCGCTGGCCTCGCCACAGCTTGCCTCGCCACAGCTGGCCTCGCCACAGTTGTCCTCCCCAACATTCGACGTGGCCTTATTTGATTGCTACTGACCTAGAAGACCTAGAAATGATCGCAACTTGCTTCAGCACATGATGTGCACAGGCATGGCTACTCAGGAACAGGCTGCCATTCTTGCAGATCCGGCTACGAGGTCTTGCTACATCAACTTTGGACAGACAGGGGGCACGCGAAGAAATAATGGAGATGCCCCGGCATTATTTGCTCCCTAAATACATAAAAATAATGGAATGGCGCGCCATTTCATTATTAGTATTTGCCCCCTCAAATAATAATAA